CTGATTAGGCTTAATTAGCGTTGCGGATAATCTACTCTAGATGTTTTCATAAGGTGAACTCGTCGCACATGTCACTTCCAATTGATTGAAAAGTTTACAGTAACACTTAGCAGCTCGCGGCAGTCGTTACTTGGTTGTTGGCGGGTTCATGAACAGAGTCAGCAAGAGAAAACGAGACTGGATATCTTGGATATGTACTGCAAAAGACTGCAAATCCACAGCATCAACAACGAATGACATCGTCACCATGGTGAAAGATGAACACAATCATCAAACTGTCACGAGTGCTATTAAGGTAAGAGTTAAAATTCTTATATATGTATAAATATTATTCAGTGATTGCCACAGTTTTGTCGAATTTTATAACAGTGTTTCAGTAAGATGCTTAATAAATGGAAAAGTTTGGAACCAAATGGTTAATGATGCTTTGTTTCTTTGTTGGACCCAAATGGTTAATAATGATGTGCCGTCTTGCCTTTGGTGCCAGCACAGGAGGTAAGTTATTTTAAAAAAATAGTTAGCTCCACCCCAATAGGTTGTGTAATAAAGGTGTTATTTTGCCCTGTCTATTCAGTAACATTAATTAATGTATCTTTTCTTTTTCAGGTAGAGGACCTGTGGCTGGATACCTTGGCAACGATGCCAGATGATGATCGCTGCCGACAACTCTTAGACTACATGACCAACTTTTGGGTGGAGGGAGATCTGCACTTGACGCAATGGAACCACCACAACTCAGATGGGCCAAGAACAAACAACCACCTAGAAGGGTGGCATTCACGCCTGAAGAAATACGTCGGCAAGGCTCATCCAAACATTTTCGAGATTGTGTCGTTCCTGTCACGAGAACAGACCAACACCGAAAACAAGCTGGTCCAGTAAGAGGAAATACAGGGATTTGGAGCGACGACTGGATGACATCTGTCACCAGCTTGAACAAGGAACACTGGTCGTGAGGCAGTTTGCTGATTCAGCATCCCACCTATTGCATTTAGGTTACAATCTGTGAAAAAATGTATGCTATATGAATTTACGGTGTATTTATTAAAATGCTAAAATCTGTCATCTGTTGACATCTTCTCATTAGGTGCGCTCTCATCCGCATAATCCGGATTATCCTCCTCTAACAACTCTTTGTTCCTGCATTGTCCTCGTAATCCATTATTAATTGGCAAAATGAAACTAGTCTCAGGACGTCGACCTTTATATTTCACTCAACCGTAAAGTTTGGTCGAAAGGTCGGCGTTATGAGCCTGAACCCATGAAATGCACGTCCTAAATGTGTGATGACAAGGGGTCATCTCAAAGATATGTTTATGCTTTTTCATGTGTGTTGAATATGCCTCATCTATTGATCATAAAGTTTATGTTGAGATGCGTAAAAGGGTATGATACCCATGGAAAAGCTTAAATTAGCCATCGTATTAAATGTCTCAAAATATATAGGTGGCATGACTGCCCGAAGATCGACAGGACTGGATATTATTATTATTTGTATATTGTTATGACATGCCGTTTGCTTCCCAGTTTAATTCCCCTCAAGGATTATCTTATCTCAGCTTATATCTTTATCCCCCAGCCCGACCCCAGCCACCGTCTTTGACACCCCTCCTGACACACCGTTTGGGACGACCCCTCCTACCTGTTTTTGTTTATAGTGATAGTGAGACTCCATTGCAGCTACATCCTTTATAGTTTCAGTATTAAAGGTTTTACGTCACCTATCGTTTATGATGAAGTTTAATTTCGAAATGGACATTTAAAAATTGTCCTTTGTAATATAATATCATCACACACTTATTTGCATAAAGCCATGGTCTGTTCGAAATAAGTCGCTTCGGACTATGTAAAAACCTCATTTCTCATTTCTGCACTAATCTCTCCTCAGTAAAGTCCTTTTTCTACGTATCCTATTTCTCTACCACTGAGACTGTAGTTAGGCCGAACTTAGTTTAACAGATATTTCACACTTACACATATCAACTACATAAATTGTAGATATCAAAGCGAAAAAACAGTTTTTTTTCTATTTCCGACAGTACTTTAGTAGCCCCGGTTATTAATAATTATGTTTCTTCACGCCAGCCTTCTGAAATACTCTGCCGCTGTTTACCCTGAGATGACCCTTCCGTGTTTATCCCTTCAAATTATGCCTAGCGTCTGGCATACCACTAGGAAGTGATTCACACAGGGGCATCTGCACTGGAGTGAGGTGGTTTGTAATAATACTTCCACGTCTGAGTATAATCAGGCTCGGTTATCTTCCAGAACAGATTCCATTGGGCGTAGAGGGCAAAACACTGGTGGAATTATAGGAATCAATGTAGCAGTGAAATCAGACACAAGATGTTTGGTGAAAGGGTATTACCTGTGGTGGCGCGTGGTTCTGTGCTTAAAGCTCAGGTCACAAATCGGTGAAGTTAAGCAGCGTCGAGCTCGGAGAGTCCTTGGATCAATGGATGGGTGACCGTGTTTGGCAGCTTGACTCCTGAGATTTTCTAGGACTTGAGTCCTGCCCCCAAACGAAGCACATGTGACACATGTGGTCTCACCTTAGGCAAGTGAGTTTGTTGAAAATTGTCTCTGTTCACCCAGCAGGAAAATGGGTACCCGGTGGAAAAAAGTCATATGACTATAACCTTCTAGCGCCTAACAGGCAGCTTGGGTTATCCGGGGTAATAATGGCCTTGATTGTTGGCGCTATGAGCATACCTAGTGTGGAGTTTGGCGCTATATGAATTGACACATTATTATTATTATTACCTGTCAATCACCTGTAGATCATACGTTTCATAACACAGTCATCGAATAACTTGGTGTGGAAATGCCTTGTGAGGTGCATTTACCCGTGTTTACAGAGGAAAACTTTGATAAACCAAGCTGCATGTTTACATGGAAACGCAACTACGTATACTTATGGCAAGTCGACGGGTCTGTGTTTAGTCCCCTTAATGCCGATCACCAGACAGGGAAACAACAAGTCCCATCTGTTAACCTCCTATGGTATGACGCGGACGGGAATCGAACGACCGACCAGCTCCCCGGGCCTACCCTCTAGCCACGATCACAGGGGGGTGTCACTATATATATAGTTCTAGGGTAGGGTCTATATATCTAAACTCTGTCAAAAAAGAAACGCAACCCCTGTCCTCAGATATGAAAAATTCGTTTGAATGAAGTTATTGCTTCCAAACTAAATTTTATTCGAATGTATTAAAATGATACACGTAATTAATGAAGATTACCATCCAAACAACTGCATTTGTACGCATAAGTGTATTTTATTGCTTATTCCGTCACAACGCATGAAATGACCCTCATGGTGACTTCGCACAAAAAAAACACATGCAAATCATGAAAATGGCAGTTAATGTAGGGGTGTATAAAAGCCCATGTGCTTCCGTATTATATTCATTCATTTGTCGCCGAAAAGCTGTGTTAAAAATGCCACGATTGAGTGCTGCCGACCGAAATATCGCCATTGGTCGTGTTCAAGCCGGAGAAAGTTTTGAACTGTTGCACGGCACCTAAATGTTCACAAAACAACGATATCCCGACTTTGGAGCCGCTACAACAACTTCAATTTGACCAACGATCGCCCGAGAAGTGGAAGGCCAAGAATCACGACCCCCCTTCAAGATTGGTACATCCGGGTCCATCACCTGCGTAATCGGCATGCCCTACCAACCGTGACTGCCACACAAATACCAGGTTTGAGGAGAGTGTCAGCTCAAACGATTAGGAACCGTCTGAAAGAAGCGGGTTTACGTGCCTGTAGACCAGTTGTTGGACCTGTACTACGCCCCCTACATCGACGCCGACGACTCAGGTGGTGCAACAACGTAAGGATACGGACTTTACAAAACTGGAGGCGAACCTGGTTTTCTGATGAATCACGTTTTCTTTTGCAACGTCACGACGGAAGACAGCGTCTGTATAGGAGACGTCATAAACGTTTTGCGCCCATCTGCGTCCGACAGGTGGACAGATTTGGCGGAGAAAGCGTCATGGTTTGGGGAACCATCTCATACAACCAGAAATCAGACTTGGTGATCGTTCCAGGAACCTGACAGCCCAACGTTACATCAACCACGTGTTAGAGCTTCACCTTCTCCCGATTATTGACCAACAGACACAGATTTGTCAACGGGACAACGCCCGGCCTCATACTGCACGTGCAACAATGAACTTTCTGCAGAATTCCAACGTCAATGTCTTGCCATGACCCTCTAAATCACCAGACCTCAACCCTATTGAACACCTGTGGGATACTCTGGATCGACGCGTCCGTCAACGTCAGCCGCCGCCACAGACGCTGCAACAGCTCGCCGTTGCACTGCAGGAGGAGTGGAGAGCCATTCCCCAGGAAAGAATCCGGCGTCTTATCCGTTCTTGTCCAAGGAGATGCCGTGCAGTGATTGCAGCGCGTGGTGCTCATACGAGATACTGAGAAAGACGCCCCCCTGGTGACAAACTGGTGTCTGTGAGATGACTTTTGAAATGACAATTTTAAACATGCCCATCTGGGTTATTATTCTGCCAAATTTCAGACTTCTGTCTTAAATAATAAAAATGCTGTGTCGTCCTAAAACTTCAGATCAAAATCTCTAAAATACAGGGGTTGCGTTTCTTTTTTGACAGAGTTTATATGTCGTTCTAACGCTGTTTCTAAGCGTGACACGCCCCTGTGGCCACGATACCAGGGTGTTGGTCCCGGAAAAGGTGGTCCTGTGATGGTCAATATCCATTATGACCCAGTAGCAACGTTTTTAAGATAACACAAAGAACTATGACGAAACATAAAGCTCATCCCTGAGAGAATAATCCAAATGAAACCACTCGGATAGAGAGAACAATATAACCGTCTCACCATTAAACAACACGTTCTGTTTATATTATACCTACATCTTGTGTTTGTTTGATATTTTCAGTGTCTGCGTTTACATGTTTAAACATAGGTAATGGCGCACAAGTACCAACAGACAAGACAGCTCATACAATTAAACCGTGAACGTTTCCTGTTTTATTTCTATCTATAATCCGGTCCAGCACCGGCAGATATGGAAACCTCCTGAATTGTGTTGGCTTCCGGCGAGTTCACCCTCGATTTCGATCATGTGATCTCTTTATCCAGTGAGTGAATATTTTTTGATGCCAGCTTTGGGGTTTAAAACTTCCATTCTTTTCTGTTTACAAAAACCACCCACACAACCTTAACGTGATGACGTTGTTGGCATCATGGCGCCCAATACACACATTCACCACTTGTCATCCAGTGAATTGCCAGCACTATCATCAAGACACCGGAGTAAGAACGACACCCACTGTTTCTGATCGGGTCTGAGAGGCGCACTCCTCGTTCGTAAAATACACTTTCATCGAGAAACACGAAAGTTTGAAATTTCTCTTTCACAATCGTTTCGAATCTGACATAGTTTGTAACTCTATTAAGCGAAAATACATGTTTATTTGTGTCTTCAATAACTAGTGGTCCTTGTAACTTGCCATAATGGAGATGCAGGTTTTGTGTTGACTTGTTCAGACTAACTTGCAACTCGCCGAATACTCTGTGCCCGTAGCTTCCTATATACCGCTCCATTCCGATTTCAGTGTCAGGAGGGTTGGCTGGTTTTCTGTTGCCATCTGTCTCAGAATCTGACCCGTTGGAATTCTCCTGTATCCATGGTGACGGGAAAGAACACGCGGATGTTGAATTGAGCCACTGTGGCTGTGCCAACAGCAGGTCGACCACGTAGTATACTATAGGTTTGAGATCGGCCATCGTGTTGCTGGAGATGAAGATACCTAGTTGGAACTGTGGCAAAACGGCTACCAGCGAGTCATGGGCGCCGATGGAACCATCGTGCCACAGAAACTGAAACCCTGGAACAGTAAGGACATGGGTTATTCAGCGTTTCAAAACCAGGGTGCCGTTGTCCAAAGCTATCTTAGTGCTAAGGTGGTCGTAACTCCCATACCTTAACATAGACTTAATAACGACTGGCGTAGCCCTAAGGTTGTTTTGTACAACGGCACCCAGATCTTTTCCTGGGTTCACGAATATTTTAATGTAATGTGGCTGTGGAAGACTACAGATTAAAATTAGGACGAATCGTTATTTTATTTTCGGGGCGGTGGGGCATCCCAGTGGTTAAAGCGTTCGCTAGTCACGCCGAAGACCAGGGTTCGATTACTCACATGGGTACAATGCGTGAAGCACATTGCTGGTGTTCCCCAGCCGCGATATTGCTGGAATATTGCTAAAAGCGGCGTAAACTGAACCCACCCACTCACTATTATATTTTCCATCATCTGTCCATCAGCTCGGTTTCAACTCTGATAACTTCGACAAAGAGTTATTCTGCTTCTTGCATAATATTGTTTGTTAGCTTCCATTCGTAGTTGGTAGGAATGCGACGAATGATAAAATATTTCTATTTTTTTCAAAACGACAGCAAATACGACCGACGTTTTTTTAGAATTTCCTCTACACAGCCGACCATTGCTTTTACGTAGTTTGGTGTTTCTATCGGAATAGTTTCACGTAGCTGTAAAGTGTAAATCCCATTAAACTAAACACCTCGGTAGTTTCCTATGTCCCAAGCCAGTCCATAGCCTCGTTGTAGATGTGTTGCCGGGAATGTTGGAACGCTGATACGTTTGTCGTCACCAGGGACAAACATATGCACTTCAAACATTGACTTCATCATTGGCACCGACATCAACTGTCTCCCTTCCTCAGTTCTCCCGTCAGCCGTGAGGAATTTCAACCATTTCATCATGTCATCGACCGTAGCTACAATACCCCCTGCCGGTTCCAGAGGGTGGATGCTGTACAGAGAGAGGATGACATTTCCAGTTTTACCATTTTGTAAGAGATCCTGTACCCATGCATGTTCGATGCCCATGACAACCAATAAATGAGGCCAAGACAAATGATGTTTGTTTTAAGGGCACTCGTTAACAATCCAGTTCTTTTGCATGGAATTAATCGAGTCAGGACCAGACAATTCCTGTGATTTACAATAACACGAAAAGTCTACCCGATCCATTAAGTTGAATCCTACGACAAATATAGTCTTATCTATATCTATAATATGTCGAATTCCAACATGGGCAACCGTGGCCACCCAATGCAGTAAGAATGAAAGATGCTCCAATTCTTGGGCAAATTAAATGTCACATTCACAATATTCTAAATTTCCCCGACCCAAAGTCAATCTTTGTTCCTATGCCCGTTTGGGAAAATATATGGGTAGGAAGAAAAATTTAACCCCTTCCAGAACACAAATGTTCCACCAATAGAGCACATTGTAAATGCAATCTTATTCAAATCAGGTATTTTACTCTGATAAGAAATCGGGCAGGTGGTATTTGTGAATCAGGAATAGGCTTCAGGAGAGACACGTTTTCACTACCCGTGAAGATCCGGGTTAGAATTGGTCTTCAGTAACCCACGCTTGTCGTAAAATGCGACTGACGGGTTGAGTGGTCAGACTTGCTGATTTGGTTGACACATGTCATCGTATCCCAATTGTGTAGATCGATGCTCATGATATTGATCAGTGGATCGTCTGGACCAAACTCGATTATCTACAGACCGCCGCCATATAACTGAAATATTGCTGGGTGTGGCGTTAAACAACAAATGCAATGCAACCGTGCACGATGCTGATCCCTGAAACCCTCCTCCTCTTCCAGATAACGAATATCCCTACAAACAGAAGGCAATCACTGAAACCCTTCCTCCTCTTCCAGATAACGAATGTCCCTACAAACAGAAGACAATCACTGAAACCCTCCTCCTCTTCCAGATAACGAATGTCCCTACAAACAGAAGACAATCACTGAAACCCTCCTTCTCTTCCAGATAACGAATGTCCCTACAAACAGAAGACAATCACTGAAACCCTCCTCCTCTTCCAGATAACGAATATCCCTACAAACAGAAGACAATCACTGAAACCCTCCTTCTCTTCCAGATAACGAATGTCCCTACAAACAGAAGACAATCACTGAAACCCTCCTTCTCTTCCAGATAACAATCCCTGAAACAGAAGAATCACTGAGGTCCTCCTTCTCTTCCAGATAACGAATGTCCCTACAAACAGAAGACAATCACTGAAACCCCTCCTCTTCCAGATAACGAATGTCCCTACAAACAGAAGGCAATCACTGAAACCCTCCTCCTCTTCCAGATAACGAATGTCCCTACAAACAGAAGGCAATCACTGGCACAATTACAGCAAACTTACCTTTTAGTCTTTTTTTACACATTTGCACAGCCGCAAAATTGTTATAGGCAAGAATCCACTGTTTTGTTACGCTTTTCGGTGATTCGTAAATGTTTGTCCTTTTCGCCACGGCGCAAACTTGTCGAACGTTTTTTTCAGAAAGAGTCGTCAAAGAAATAATGTTCACATGAGTATACAATATTCTGATTGCTGCATACAACAAACTAAAGGTGTCATGATTGTGACTCTGTAGCGAATAAGTATATGCCCCAGAGGAAAAAGGTAATGCCATTCGTGGAAAGAATTTCAATGTCCAAGTGAAGGGGTTGTGATCACAAAGTGAGCCATCGGATTCCAAAACTAAACGGTTTGCGACTCTGCCCTCCCTGTAGCTCTCCAGCAGTTGCAGATGAGTTCCATTATCTTTTTAAATGTGAAGTTCATCCCACAGAGGCTCGATTGGGTTCATGTCTGGGGACAATGAAGGCCAGTCCATCACACGAACATGCTCATTATTAAAAATCCCTTGTTACCCTGGCTGCATGGGGACGTGCATTATCATGCTGAAACACAAAATGGTTACGACCGCCATGTTGATCCATCATTGTGAGTACAGCCGGACGAAGGATATTGTCCACATTACGTTGAGCATTCAGATTGCCGTTAACCACTACCATCTGGGATCGGAAGCTGGCATTGATAGCACACCAGATAATGACACCACCCCCTCCAAAAGGATCATGTTCATGGACACACTTTGGCGCAAGTCTTTCTCCTCGACATCGATAAATCCGTTGACGTCCATCTGCAAAGGATACGTTAAACCTGGATTCATCTGCAAACTTGACATCTCGCCATGGCCTGCTGCCACGATTGGCCCCATAAGCTGCTCACTGCTGTCTGGCAAGTCTGTGGCGATGCAATAAGGTTAGACCACAGTAGGGGCGACGACACCGGATGTTGAAAGCAGCAAGGTGTACTGTCTTCGCACCGTTTGGGCGCCGACATGAGGTTGTCTTGTCCCAATTGTCCTCCTTGCCGTATCAGCAGCTGTTTGGAACCGATTTCGCAAGTGTGAAACTCCTTTCGTCTTTTGTCAAGCGTTGCATTTTCTCAAAGTGATTGAGTTTCACAATTCCTTGTGCTTTTAAAGGGCCTGGGTGCAGGAAATGCACATGCACAACGTGTTTCATGGATGTGGTTGTGTTTACGAGAACTGTCCAAGGTTCAGTTTTAAGCATCAAAGTTCACGTGAGAGTAATGCTCGGGGACTCGAACTCGAAATGGGCCTTTTATCCCTACATACTCCCTATCGCAGGAAAAAAAAATCTTAAATAGAACTTTTGTAAGTTCCAGGACAACAAATACCAATTGCGTTTTTAATGGCTTTAGGTATATATGTATTATAAATGATGTTGATGTCACTTTGTACATCCTTGCTGTCTTGGTATTTATTGTATTCATTTGCATTTATTTGTCTCATGTACCACTGTTGGTGGGTTTTCGAGAAATAAAAGAAGAAGAAGAAGAAGTTTGGTAACGAGTCCTAAAGCTACCGGCGCAACGGTGCGTAACAATTGTCGATGTACATTTACCTACAGCGTCTGTACGATATATGCTACTCTGTCTTGTGATGCTAAACAGCTATTCGGCTATGTCAGGAACTTATGCTGTGTATGTTCATCATAGAAAATAACATACATTGTTCAGTGTGTGGAACAACGAATAATTTTAAAAACGTGAATATGCAGAGGTACATTTGACGTTTGTTATTAGCTATTTTTTATGACAAACATTCTGTTCAGGTATCAAACATCACCTGCTTCTCACGGTGCTATTTGAAACACAGAATACCTGTCAGGGATAATTCATCCCTGAGCAGACAGGAGAACGCATCTCCGATGTTGTAGCTAATGAGACATAACGTTATGTAAGTTAAGAACAACAACACAGATGAGTAGTGAGAAAACCCGTCAAGTCATTTATAGACCGGATACAGGCTGACTGGGTGCCGGTGTGGCAGGTTAATGTCACTCACGCTAGACTTTATGCTGGAGATATATGGGCCTGGGGAAGTGACCTGGTCATTCTGTACCTGCATGGGCCTCCTTTCACAAAGCACTAAGGTGATCGTAAGTCACTAAAGTAACCTTAGTGCCTTATGAGTCATTCTCAAAAGATGCAGCAATTTTCGCGTATCAGGATTAAAACCTCAATAAAACCTACAGATTTTATCAGTGTGTTAAAAATCTGATTTCTTCTTCATTGCCAATATCTAATCTTACTTGGGAATTTTTTTATCACAAACAAAAGGAGCAAATGATATTTATTTTTTCCTTTTTTGTAACAAGGGACATGCATTTTGTCATGTATCCAGGTACAAAAAGCTAACATCATGTGTCTGCTGTGCACTAAATTTTATTTAAGAAGGTATTGTTTCTGGAGTGGTTGAAAAGAATAGACCTTTTTCCCATTCCTGGTAGATGATTTTCAAGCTGAATTTTCATATAAAAAAAGCTTTTTTTCTTGTATACAAGAAAAATGTCTTTCCTGTAACAGTTCCATAGAATTATGAAATAATTAATGACCCCCTCATCAGTTGTTTATTAACAACTTCTGGTTGAGAGTGATGAACATATGATGTTTTCAAAGAAAATCAAGTTTAAAAGGTCAGCATTTGCGAATATTTTTTATCGGTGTCTTTTAGATAACATCAATATAAAAAAAATACCCAATTTCCCACAAGTATGTTTTTCTCTTTGCATTTGCAACAATAATTATAACATAAGAATGTTGTCAAAAATGGGAAAGGGACTGGTCATTATTTTTCTCTTAATTTACTCTTACAATTTGTTTTTCATATAACCAGTCTTTTCTGAAACAGCTATTTTGTTATTGGAAAGACCTTCAGTGTTACTTCAAAGAAACATCAATATTGATTAGTCACATATTCTTTTATGTTAATGTCAATGTCATTAACAGTTGACTTGTGGTAATAATCTAAGGTTTATGTATGCTGAGGCTGAAACATGTTTTACACTTTCTTGTCTGAATGCAATCATACTAATTTTTGTCAAAGGTCGTTATTGGAAAGACAAATTCTGTAACTGCAAACACAATTCGATACAAATTTGAAAATAAACATTATCTCTGGTAGGTCCTTGTTCATCTAGATTTTCTATGTGCTCATATTAGGACCTTTAAGAATATATTTTGAGTAACAATTCATATTTTGCTATATGTCTTTCAAAAATAGCTGTTACTTAAAAGACTTATGTTGTAACTGCAAATACTAATTATCTTTCTTTTTTGTCTTTCTTTCCTGATTCATTCAGATGAGCATCCAATATATGAGATAAGATTACCTTATGCTTCACAAAGAAGTCTGTTCTAGAAACTGAATGTTTTTATGCACTTTTTAATGACTGTTATTTGAAAGACAGTATGTGACTGTGACTATAATAAATATGACATCGTAATGATCAGTCTGCAAAACCATCAAAGTGTTAACATCTAGTTCCCTATATAAAGTTAATGTGTCATAATCTGAAACAAAATTTCAATGAATGTTTCTTAGAACTGGCAAGATGGGTATGACAAATGCGGAGATTAATTTTAGTGATTGATTTGTTAATTGACAGCTTGAGGGAGATGATCAAAACTTTGATACTTTTGTTGGTTGCAAACCTGTTTGACAGTTTGAGGAATGTGATCCAAACTTGGATACTTTTGCTAGTTGCAAACCTGTTTGACAGTTTGAGGAATGTGATCCAAACTTGGATACTTTTGCTAGTTGCAAACCTGTTTGACAGTTTGAGGAATGTGATCCAAACTTGGATACTTTTGCTAGTTGCAAACCTGTTTGACTGTTTGAGGAATGTGATCCAAACTTGGATACTTTTGTTGGTTGCAAACCTGTTTGACAGTTTGAGGAATTTGATCCAAACTTGGATACTTTTGCTAGTTGCAAACCTGTTTGACAGTTTGATAAATTCATGGCAATTACAGTCAAACTTGTTGTGAAATGAGTTTCTGAGTTCCTAGAAAACAAATTTCAACATGGTAACTGCTACTTTTATTGTTGTTTATTCAAAGCACACTGTCTAAAGTTTTTATTGAAGACCAGAATTTAATTCTTCTTTGTCTTCCATCAACTTGATCTGAAATGTCTTTCCAGTAACTCTGACATGTCTTTCGGGTGACACATAGGCTAAGTTCCAAGATATAGACTATATATTTTGCACTTCAAGTGTGGTAAAATCAACACTTTTATAAATTGATTAACGTGAACCTATCTTATCTTCACTGCCATAGATGTATTCTTATCCTAACCCAAATATACGATTGAATTGTAACACTTACTATACTTCTGAGGGTAACAGGCAAAAAACACTTCCTTTCATTTCAGATGGATCAAAGATATTTGCTACAATTCAATCGTTTTTCAAATATACTTGATATAATTTCTTTCCAATAACATAGGGTGTCTTTGGCATAAAGATACTGTCTTTCATATAACGGGACTATAAAGTAAATGTTTTATGATCTAAAGAGTAAGACATTGTCAGAAATTACTCAGAAATATCAAAATGTTCTCTTCAAATCACCTTCAGTGCAGTGATTTTTTAGGGGAGACAGTGGAAAGAATATCAAGAGTATTGCAAAGTACCCACTGATTTCACTTTTTCATCTGACACAGTATAGAACAGGTTTATTTAATAAAAATACAATTTTAGAACTGATTTTTTAAGTGTGAGCAACAAAATAACACATAAGGTAGATTTTACAATGCAATATCTTTACATATCAATGTATTTTTAAGAAAAATGTGGATATTACTGTTGTTACGGGAAAGACATTGGGTCTTCGTCCTAATTAGTTTAATTAGTCTTCATAAAATATGGGACATAATTAAGCCTCAAATACTATTGATATGTGAACCGTAACAACGTATCTTGCCATTTGTGAAAATAAAGATTGACGATTTTGTATTTCAATTATTTTTTCTTTTGTTCACTTTTGAGAATGACTCATATAAAAGAATGGGAGTTCAGGTTAAGCTTAGAAAGTGCTGCTTCGTGAAAGGAGCCCCTGACCGTTGGATCTTCATCTTCATTTCTCCCTAATAATGACGCATAGGTACGTCAACATATGTAGAAGTGACTAACATACCCTTGAGACGTTCAAAAGCAAAAGTATAGTTCGAAAACATTAAACATGGCACAAGCATTAAACTATGTTAAAATACTATGAATGTATCAAATTTCGAAAAGCAAACCGGCCATACAGGTTCAATGAAACACCGTTAGTCTCGGTCCCGTTGGCAGGGAAACGGTCAGGGAAACGCCGCCCTATTAAGACGATCTGACTTGAGTAGCTGTTATATAAACTGAGGAACAGAACCATGGATTACCACAAACGTACGAGTTTACCATTACTGTCAGGTATTTTCTGTAGTCAAAGTCGTGATATCCGGAGATGCCTGCAATGTACGTACCTTGCGAGATCGGCGCGAGTGTAGGAGGGGTCGTAGCTGTAGGAGAGTGCCACGCTGGGACCACTCAGACCAGTCCTGTGAGCCATCAAGTCCTTTATAGTCGTCAGTTTAGTTCTCTCCGTGTCAATAAACCGAAAGTCGCCTCCCAAAACATCAGCGACTTTAGAGTCCCACGTCAACCTGGAGAATATACACAAGTAATGGATGAAAGATATGCATGGTGAATTGTAAGTACTGTCGTTGGGTGCTACAAGAGCACACATAATTTCTACATTATTGAAACCGATGTACATTCACTGCAATATGCGTTGGCCATCCTACTTTTCGCAGACACGTCTTCCTACTTTTCAATTTTTCAATTGTATTTGTTCTAAGTGATTTCGAACATTGTCGGAAGGAGCTACCTGCTCGCTAGCCAAATGTCAGTGGCTTAGAAAATGGTCTACACATTAGCGTATATTGCTGGTCCGACTGTCGAGCTCCAGTCAATACATATATGTGTTTACGAATAATCAAGTCAGTAAAGGCGTGCACCATGTCCGAGTCTGGTGTGAGTTTGTTTTCGGCTTTTAGAAACCCCACGAACACGTAGACTAGTTTTCTGTTGTTACCTGATCATATCTGATGTACGTACATGTACTTGCGTAAGTAACGATGCGTGTGCAAGTCTGAGAACCACCAAAACGTATAGTGCTAAGCAGCCAAGCAGCTTCAACGCTGATTAGCCTAGTGACCTAAAAGCACATAAAATGTGTTATACTTAGTAAACAACATGTACCATAAAGTAGAGCTAACTTAATCATAGCAGTGCTAACTTAATTGCAGCAGGTTCTGTTAACAGGCCCTCCTGGCCAGGGAACTTTGGAAGCTATACTTCTGATTTCTAGGCCTGACTCGTTCCTTGTGACCTACGTTTTGTCCAGTCAGGCGCGTAGCCAGCCAATCTTTTGTGTAAATCCCGATAGGTTGCAAAGCCTTATATTTAGACAGTATTGAGGGCTTGCCAAACTTTCATTTTTTATCACTGAAAGAAACACACCTTTAAAATTTATGATATGAAGAATAACTTGTTTACTGTACATGGTGACTGTACTGGTAATAGCTAGAGTTTGATATCAAAGAATATTGTAGTCAATATGATTCATAGAGGGATTACCATTTTCTAAATTGTTCTGATAACGTGTTTGTAGGTATTTTTGCAAGAATTCGAAAATTGTTGTTTTGTTTAGCAAAAAACATGTGTAAGCCCGGGCTTTTTTCAAAATGGTAGTTACGCCCTTCCCAGTGAGTACGTGTAGAGGATGTTAAATCATGAGGATGAAGGATGTGATTACAGGAAGGACAGCGTGAAACAGTTAGAGCTGGGGATACATGATGTCACTCTGAAAATTGTCCATGTGAATATCATCACCCAAATATATCTTAAAATGTATTTTCAATATTACATAAACGTAAAATACAAATAAGAGATGTTCATCTTTTTATTTTATGAAAGCTATTCGCTAACTCAGAAGTGGATCGATGTAAGCTCGTTAAATAACTGTTTCCAATCAATGAAACAATGAAATACATTGCTACATGTTGTTCGAGACATCGTTACCAACCTAATAATTCCTCACATATGTCAGGTAATGACTTGTATAATGTTATATTTCAAAGGACTTATGCGTAACACTTGTGGGAAGGGAGTTCATTTGAGCCTTCATTCGCGCATGACTCAACCTCGGCCCCTCCCCAACAGATGCACTGCCTCAAACCCTTACCACAAAGACAGACACAGACAGATACAATCAATATGTTGGAGAAGAATAATAAATTATGTGAGATATGTGACGTGTGAGATATGTGACGTGTGAGATATGTGATGTGTGAGATATGTCATGTCGAAGCAAAAGGATATCATACAAAGTCACGTCTGTCAGCGCAGTTGTTAGCTGCTGCAGCATGAGGATCGGATGGTTGGGCCCGGTCAGTTGGTTGGGTGTTTCATTCCTTCGTTGGCTCTTCATTCATTAATTCATTCAATACTTCAGCATTATACCTGCACACAACCAGTGTGTTCTACACAGTATACCAGTCGCTAGTTACTTGTCTGCAACATCGGTCATACTTGTCGTGAAAGCACTTCTGGGGATCGGGTGGTTACAATATGTGATCTGGCTGAGTGTGTGTTATCATGCTTCGTTGACGTATGTACTAGATCAGTCACTACTTTCCCTGGTTCCGCAATATTGATGGAATCATCAACCGTGGCGTTAAACGACCCTGGGCCAATCATGTAACGTTGATTCGAACATCAGCTTTGCAACATACGTATCCATGCATACCGTATTTGCCACGTACGTATCCATGCATACCATTTATGCAACATACGTACCCATGCATACCATCTTTGTAACGTACGCATCCGTGCATACCATTTTTGCTACATACGCATACATGCATTACATCTTTGCAACATACATATCCATGCACACCATCTTTGCAACATACTTTTCCATGTATAGCACATGTGTAACTTACATATACACATATGCCATCTGTTATCACCTGATCAACCCATGTACAAATACAGAGCTGTACACCCATAAATGGTACAAAGACATGAAACTAAGTCTGAGGCTGGGGTCCAGGGCCTAGAGTTTCGAAGCTCTCTTAGCGTTAAGATGTCGTAAGTTAATGAAACAGTCGGATTCTGGGGTTTATATTTGAATGGAAATAGTCGAGAATATTCGACATTTCGCGCAATATATACTGAGAGAAAAAAAATAAAGGATCACAGGAAAATTCAAGCGTTCCTTTATTAGTTTCCAGTTTTCATTACCACAGCGCTATTCAAGCTGGTGATGAAAACTGGAAAATATTAAAGGAACATTTGAATTTTTCTGTGATCCTATATTTGTTTCTCTAAGTATATATGAGATGAAAATATTTTTAAGGACGTGACACTGAATATATAGTATACTGTTCACACTTCGCTAAGGATCAAACCATTGATTCAACAGAAAACTATGGTGTGGGGTCTAATTTGGTTTAAATATGAAAGCTTATTGTAAGCATGGATCCTACGTTCAGTATATCACTGCATCTTATGGATCCATACATGCTATTCACAGGTGTTGTGTATTTGTCAATGACTCGTTCCATTATTTATCTAGTTTTAAATGGATACAAATTCAAATTATAAAGCTATGTTTAAGTAAAGTTGGGCATTTTTGTGATCCTTAGCAGTGAGTAGTATATTAGAAGTGAATTTTTAGCAAAGATGTGAAGATGTTATTCTCGCGGCAATACCGTCATGGTTGAGTGGTTTGACGCATGTCATCTGAGCAGCATACATACATACATATACAGACACTTGTGCAGCTTACCTTCCATGCGTTCCCTCAAGGGCAGCAGCCAAGACCACTGTTGTGAATGCCTTTGTCGTAGAACCAATAGCAAAAAGAGTTCCATCCGTTGTCACGTTCCTCTTCTTGTCAACATCCTCGAGTCCGAATCCTCTCGCAAGCACTGCATCCTCCTTGACGATACCAATGCCTAGGCCAGGCACGCCCTTGCATGCCATGTACTCCGATACAAAAGTTTCAATAGATCTCGTCTGCTCATCAGTGAAAGCAGACGACACATCCTGAGGAAACATACTGTAAAGAAGTATGAAAACTATTTGTCTGAAAATGAAACACCTTGAACCCATACTGTCAGTGAAGTAAGCTTTGCCACAAAATAACACTGGCTATATTTGTTATATCGACAGAAGATTCATCTCTCTACTCTTACCCCACTTAAACTATGGGCGGATGCAGAACCATGGGCGGGATGTATACATGTAAACACGCGTTTCGCTGGGAATGTGTTACAACTTGTTCCCAAGCATGGCAATTAATATTTATGGAAACCATGCTTGACACATGTCAGGTAATGCACAGACAGATACAATCATTCTGTTGGATAATAATAATAAATTAGGCTGTGCTGAGATATGTCATGTCGAAACAGAAGGATATCATCATGCAAAGTCACATGTATGTTAATATTTATGTAATCTTTGCTTAAAGCTGTTGCAATAGCTATGGACTAAAGTTCCTTAAATGTTTTGTGACCAGTGGTCAGGGCCTGACACCATGAATGTACTGCTTTTCTAAGACGTCTGCAGTGTCCCTACAGGATTCACTAAGGGTGTGTGAGTGAGTTTAATTTTACGCCGCACTCAGCATATATTACAGCTATATGGCGGTGGTCAGTAAATAATGGAGTCTGGACCAGACAATCCAGTGATCAACAGCACGAGCATCGATCTACACAATTGGGATACGATGATATGTGTCAACCAAGTCAGCGAGCCTGACCACCCGATCCCGTTAGTCGCCCCTTACAAGCATGGGTTACTGAATAATTTTATCAATTCTAACCCGGACCTTCACTTGTGGATACACTAAGAGGGTAGGCTACTTAAGCTACGAAGTTTCTATCTATCTAAATCATTCTTGAGCAGGGTTATGGCGTCTTTAAGCTGTAGCATATATGTCGACAGCATGTACACCGACAGTGATTGGATAATGGGACTGTGTCGAGAGCCGCTTTGAACAATTTTTATCCACAGCCCATATCAAACACAGCCCATATTCTTCATTTATGCATAAATCCAATAGTACACGTTTACCATTCATGATCTGATCGACAACGAATCATCAACTATATGATATTTGAAGAGGATCCTTGCTAAACCAAGGGTGTAACACAGCGAACTGAAGCCATTCAAAGCACTATAAACTATGTAGGTGTATTAGCAAGGATGCTGTGTCTTCGCATCTCCTTAACCACCACTAGCAGTAATTACGGTTTACATTTGCTATTCCCAGGAATTATTTATTGTTGCTGTGTAGACTAGGAATGCTCACCGACTCCGGGCAGTGCATCTGCAAAGCATAACGAGGCCTTCCTGCAGGGTAATCATACGTCTGCTTAAATAACAACAGAATACTTATGGCGGTAGGATTTAGATAGGGCATAGAGGACACTTTTGGTTGTAGCCATCTGGCTCTGATTCTATGTGCATTCTGAGTACGAATTCAGATCAAACCTCTGCTCCATGACCTGGATCTCAATTCTCAGTCATAATTGTTACCCGGATGAGACCAAATATGGATACTGACAATATTTCGTAATTTCTCTTTTCCGAAATAGAAGCTAGCATATCCAGAAGTTCATGATATGTTTATTTTTCAATCCCGAGCCAAAATCTCTGCTCAGAATTTGTTCCTCTGAATTTCTTATTTCTTGTTTATTGGAACGTGTATACAACGCCACAAATCACAAACTGAATCGATGGCACGTTGTACATCAGCCCGCCAGTCGCCGTTCTATCCGCGGCCTAATTGTATAATTAGTTGGCGTACATTTATTATCATTATCTGCCCTGTGTTGTGCTCTGTTCTCCTCAGACGATCTTTGCCGTGACAAATTTGTTTTTAGTGTGGTATGGACTGATTGTAAAATGAGATTTCTGTCTTCAACAACGTCTCGTTTGTTTCAGAAGAAATATTTCAAATTCGCCAGTGTACATGTTTTCAAAAGAAACTTGTTAAAATAGAAACATTCGTCGAAGGCCTAATCCCCTTATGATAAGGAACGGTTAGTTTTTAGCCATGTTAGAGCAGTTCAAGTTCCGTTGTTTCTTTATCACTGTCAATCTGTATATTCTTTGAAATATGTCCGCTTGGGTGCTCCTGCTGTTAAAGGCACAAGACGGGGTTGCATTAGTTGGTATGAGTGTTGCATGGTTTCATTAAGAAACGGTCCGCAGACAAATTCAGTTGTCCTTGTACAGTCATGTTGTTGTTCTCAATGAACACAACACCCCTTTCCACTAACACGTGCATGATGTCATCCGTTTGTGTAATCAGTGACATCATGCCCACCAGCACCTTCTAACAGAGACTGATTCTTGGTAATACTTGCTTTGCGACCCCTTTATGAACTATTCACATTTTGATAAATTCATGTGTTGATTGCCCGTTTGCACAATGTTGTGTATGGATGTTGTTTTTCAACTGATCTTATTTGCCAAAAAATCTCTGGGAGAAACAAAGACACATCAGAAAGAAACTCATCAAACAGGACAGTGATTACGAGACCTGCAGAATTTAATGAAAGCGTCCTGCACATTAAGAAAGAAAAAAACATCCAAATCCAGACGAGCCAAGAAGCCTATTTTCAACCTAGACTTGTCAAATCATTCAATTGGAGTCAATTCTTATTATATTCTCTCTTGGAGAATATTCCTTTCACCATTAACCGACCATGAGCTTAAAACTTAATTGGGGCTTAGGGGTATCACATGCCTAACATCAGCTCATACGTTCATAAATCGATAGGAGAACCTACTGTGCTCACTCAGAAAGACTCACAGTTCAACTAAACAGTATATCACTAACTGAATTTGCTGCTCTAGACCTGATACTACAGGGGTATAGGGGCGGTGGGGTAGCCTATTGGTTAAAGCATCAGCTCGTCTCGCTGAAGAACCGGGTTCGATTCCCCACATGGGTACAATGTGTGAAACCCAGTACTGCTGTCGCCCCGCCGTGATATTGCTGGAATATTGCTAAAAAAGCGAGGTAAAACCATACTCACTCACTCATTCACTACTGGGATTTAGCACAAGAACACACAGAAATCACTACTCAGTATCATTTAACGGGGTATTGGACCGTAGTACCCCGTCCTGCGAACGGTATAAAGAGTTACTTTGTTGATTGTGTGTCATAGTACCTCAACGGCCTTGATCGCTACTCATGCTTTCAAAACACTGGTTTGTCCGATCCAGAGTCTATCACTGAAACCTTGAGGGCCGCGGCGATATAATAACTAAGTTTTACTTAAACCAATCTCACATACTCCCGCCTGTTATGAAATCCATTTTACCGAAGCAACAACAGCTAGTTCGTTTTAGCTAGCTGTCCGATCGCTTTTTCATTCCTTTAAACAGAGTTATGGTCTCTACTTAAACCAGCATTAACGTGTAACGAGGAAAGTTCGGTCTGATTGTGCAGAGTTGTGTAACTATGAAAGTTGTAGAATGTCTGGATAAATGATTTCCCCACGTGTCAGTCACTGAAAGACATGTGTAACTCCAACCGTGTATATCTGAGATGATAAGCTTCAACGTTTGTTGAAACAAGAGTAACTCGCTGGAACTAACGAGAATCTGATTGTATGCGTTCTCTGCCTGTCTCTTGTATGGCCCGCGACTCGTCAGCCTGGTTGTATAGTCTCGACTCATAATCACCCAGTCTGGCTGTATCCCAACTCGTCATCAGTCTCATTGCAATAATATTTTAGCGTTTGGTACCGCTACACCAAAGATCTGAGGACGACTTCGTAGGGTATATATCGCGCACTTGAAAGGGTACTAAGTTAAAACAGAAAGCGACTTCCATTTCCTAGTGAACTTGGAAAAATATTTTCACATTATTCTCGGTTCAAAATTGGACCAAATGTACAATGTAATGTGTAATGGCCGAGATGAGATCGTACGGCTGCCCTTGCCACCACAGGTCCCTGTGTCGTTGTTTAAATTTGTTAAGATCAATTGATATCACAAGTGTCCGAATACATTTCCTATTGTATATTCTGCATATTTAATAGAATAGTGCATTGATCTTGAAATATTTTAAACACACGAGCCAAGGGCCTGTGAGAAAACTCAAAGTGATGTCGATCGCAGATGCAGATCCAAGATATCATCGCCATCAACTTCATATCAACTGACGACGGTTGACAGTGCTTGTAAACATATTCCGTGTAAAGTATGTGTTCCGAATGTCACATAACATCATTTATTAAAAGACAAAAGGTTTGCAGTGATTTCCACCTGGCAATATTGTCTTTAGCCGCGGAACATGTCTCCATGTTGTAAACCTTCTCTTAGCTATGTAGTAATCCGAGAAGTTGTTGATCAATGCTGAACCCCATCTTCTCACAGTTTACGTTCATAAATACACATGATAATTAGTTGAGCACAACATTTTTCTGTTTCAAAATATCCCAAACGTCAATGCACAGTTGGGCACAACACAGCAATATCTACACAGGAGGCGACTAACAGGATCGGGTGGTCAGGCTCTCTGACTTGGTTGACACATGTCATCGTATCGCAACTGCGATTGTCTGATCTAGACTCGATTATTTACAGACCGCCGCCATATAGCTGGAATATTGCTGAGTGCGGCGTAAAACTAAGCTCACGCATATTGATCAAATATTGGCATTATTTACATACATTGTATATTGATCTAATTTTGTTAGGTATCTTTCGAAGCTACTACTCTATCCCTTAGGCAGATGAAACAAACCCACTTTTATCCAGATGCAAACAAAGCAGCAATAGAAGTAACTGAAAGCATAGTCAAACTGCAACTGTCATGGAATAGTAAGCCATACTGAATAGGCGATTTCAGTTTACCGTTTCCATAAGTCCAGCAAACAAACAAATGATGTACTTTGCCAAATAACTAGATAATGGATAGCACGTATACCATGATTACAACATTGACAAGTCTATAAGGAAACGTCTAGGAATCAGACAGTTTCGGATTCAGTAAATTCGAGTTGTTTCGTAAGCGCTCTTAATTCCCATTGGCCAGTAGTAGACTTAAGGTTAGAGAGAGTGTGTTGTTACTAGATACCAGTAGAGGGGACATGGTTGAGGAATGATTTGACTGGAATCAGACGTACATCAAGCACAACAAGCTGAATGGTTGGTCGTCTCGC